AATTTCTTATTAATTTAAAATTTTAATGTTTTTCCTTCATTGATTATATATATATATATATATATATTTCCTTGCCATTTCTATTTTTATAATTATTATTTTATTATTTACAATGTCATAATTTTACTAATAATTTTATGTTGTCAATTAAAAATGATTGAAGTAGATATATGACAAATGGTGTTACTTTTCAAAAGCAACTTAATTGTTTAACTATATGTTCAATCTGCAAACAACAAACTTTTAATACAACAACTTGTGCATAGAGGAAATGAAAATGACTAGGCAATGGAAGACAATAATTGAATAATATGCTTTGAAAATGAAAATTGTGAAATTGGTTTTTAACTCCGTGTAAGCTTTATTTTAATTAGGGCAATTGAGTTCAAAATGTTGGATGTTAACGGTAGTTCTGTTAGCCCTTAACATCCTATAGTACACTTAGCTTACATGATGCTTAAAAGGTGCTAGCCCATATAATAACCAATGCATGTGGAACGGAGGGATGGTCATCCGTAAGCAATGTACTCACACTTGTTTTTGTGAGCCTTATGCCTACATTTGATTTTATGAGCTTTGTGCTCATGCTTGTTTTCATGACTTGGAGCCGCGTTTGTCATTTGTTCTGGCAAACTCCTTCTCAGTTTGATTTTAATAATCTATTATTTATGTGATCTTTTTTTCAATGTGGTTGGTTATATCATTATTTAAGTTTTTATTTTATGATTAGCACTGATTTTTATTAAACCCCTAACATCATAATTTGCTTCAACGAATAGATTATTGAACAAACTGGCATTTAATACTAGTTTATAGTATGTGTTGTAATATTTTATTGGTTTCATTTAAATTAAACTTCTTAACTATTCATTTAAATTAAACTTCTTAACTATCTTTGTTTTATATTTTAGTTTATAATCTCAATTGGGACACTACTCATAAAAAAATTTCTTTAGTCTCAGATATTATAGTTGACCATATGCTTCCAGCTAATTATTGAGGGGCACTATTACTTTTTGGGATAGTGAAAGCGCGTTTTATTTTTTTATGTAAATATTCCCTCTATTAAAAAATGTAAAGCGTTTTTAACTGAATCTCATTTTTTAATAAAGTAGTTACTTGTCTTTAAACTAATTCTATCTTTTCATATTTATTCCTATTTAATAGAGTGTTTGACCCTAAAATAAATATAACATAATTTATTCAATAAAGGTATTTTTGAAAAAATGCAATGATTACAATTTGAAAGAATACAAATTTCTTACATTTTTTAACATCCAATCCCTTAAAAAATACCTTGTATTTTTTAATAGAGGGGATACATATTGTATTATGTAATTGTAATTTAGTGCTCCACTTTTGTCATTACTTCCTAATCCTATTTTGTTATCATAAAATTTGTTGGTGTAGAGCTAAGCTCCTTTGCTAAATTGGCAAATAGGTTTTGCCATTGTAGAAATTTTGGAAGGTCTAAATTATAGGGGAGGCTCTGTCAAAATTTTTACATATTTAAGATGTCATAAAAATTTTATTATTATATATAAATTATTTATCAATATTTGAGCTTCATCTCTAGTTAATTAAGGCTTATAAAATGTGAGTTTATCTCATATTTCATGTTAGTCATACCCCTAATATCAAGGTATGATAGTCACTGATTTGCACGTGTTAGCATAGGCCCTGCAATTTGAATCACAATGTCCTTCTAGTTACATTTCTCCAGAGGAAGGGAAGAAAATTCCTTTGCTTGGATCATTCTTTAGGTATATGTGATTTCCTTGGACTACTTATGTATTGACTCAACACTTGCACTATGAAGCTTAAATCTAAACGAGTCATAGTTAGATAAAGCATCTTCCCCATAAGCCTTCTATATCTGGTGGGATCAAGCAATAAATCATCTTTCTCCCCCTTTTTAAATTTGATATAGAGCTTTAAATCTTGGTTCATAAGTGTATTTTTAGGTCTGGCAGCACTTAATCCTAGACTAGTAATTAAATCTAGTGCATATTTTCTTTGACTCAACACCAAACCTTTTGTAGAATTAGTTGTCTCAAGTCCTAGGAAATATTTCAAAGGACCTAAATCTTTCATTCTGAAATTAATCTGAAGATAATCCTTTGTTTTTTTGTATAGATGTTTCAGAATTGCCAATTATACTTAGATCATCCATATATGCAAGAATATTAACAAAATCACTTCCTTTTGTTTTTGTTAAATAAGGAATAATCAAGTTTACTCTATTCAAAGCCTCCTTTCATTAATGATTCAAAAATCTTTAAATTCCATTATGTAGAGGCTTGTTTAAGTCCATGTAAGGATTTAACAAGTTTGCAAACTATTGTTTCTACTTGTTTTGCAAAATCTGAAGGTATTTTCATAATACTTCTTCAATTAAATCCCCTTGTAAAAAGGCATTATCTATATCCATTTGACACAAACCAATTATTCTTGATGGCAATAGATAAGAAAGGTCTAACCATAGGCAATTTTACAATAAGAGAGAAAGTGTCAAAATAATCTACCCATCTATTTGGCTATACCCTTTTGCAACCAATTTAGCTTTTAATTTATTTAAAGTTCCATTAGCATGATATTTCTTTTTAAAAATCTATGCCTACATCCTATGGCTCTCTTTCCCTTTCAGATGTCAACTATTTCCCAAGTATTAATTCTATCTAATGCATCAATTTCATTTTTCATAGCATCTATCCATCTACTGTCAATGGTAGCCTCATCAAAGGTATTGGTTCTATAATTTCATCAGTACTAACAAGAAAATCTTTATATGATGAACACACATTATGCTGAATTAGATAAATGATTTTCTTTTTACATTTTACCTGCACACTATTTAGGTGGTATAGCTTAGAGTATTCATTGTCTCTAACCTAGCTAGGTGGCTTTTGATTCTTGACAAGGTGATGCAATTCAGTTTCAAATGCTTCATTGTTGTTGCCTTGAACATCTTACACTAGTTCATTAGAGGAGTTTGAAGGTGCATGATTAAAAACAAGAGTACTTTATTTATAAAAATTAGAATCAAATAGAAAAGGATATTGGGATTTCAATTCAACAGACTCTCCCTTGAATTGGAAGCCATTAAACCTTGATCTTTGTAGGAGAATTTTTCTTCAATGAGAATAACCTATCTACTGATGGGGAACTGATCATCTTGAATGCTATAAAGGATATAACCCTTTTGGTTATTGGGATAACAAAAAAAAAGTATGGTTTAGACCCTGGCTGGAATTTATCTAAACCTATTGAAAGTTTGACAAAAACTAAACACCCAAAAACTTATAAATGACTCAAATCAAGTTATTTTTTATAAACTAGCTCATATGGGGTTTTATAGTCAAGCACCCTAAAAGGTGTCCTGTTAATTATGTAAGTGGCAAGTCTTATGCTTTCTCCCCAAGATTTAATTGGAATGTGAGCTTAGAACATCAAGCGCCAAGCCACATTTAGGACATGGCTATACTTTCTCTCAAGTACCCCATTTTATTGGGGTGTATAAGGATAAGAAGTTTCATGTACTATCCCATTAGTTAAAAAGTAATTGGTGACTTTATTATTGATAAATTCAATACTGTTGTCACTGTGCGTACTCTTTTAACATGGGCAAAAAATTGATTGACATATGCAAAAAATACTTTTAAACAAGAAAAGGCTTCATTTTTAGATGTTAATAAATAAAGACTACATATTAAATTTAGATTAAAAATAATATTAAAAAATTTACAAAACCTATAAAAATAATATGATTATAAAAAATAGTAAAATAATATAAAAGTAAATATGTCCCACAAGGGCAGAAGCATTAAAAAAATGCTCTCCTCCTTCTCATCTTCTTCCCCTCCTCTTTTTAATTTATAACCATTAGATCAAGATTTTGAATAATTCAAATTTGATCTCCTTCAAAAAATTTCAATTTATTTTACTTTTGATATATTTTTAATTTTTTTAATAAATTTTAGTAGTTTGAATTTTTTTATTTATATTTTTAGAATTTAATATTTTAATAATATTTTTAGGAGATCAAATTTAAACCATCTAAATCTTGATTTAACGGCTAGAAAAGAAAAAGAATGAAAGATGATGATGGTAAAGAGGAGAGAATCCATGTCCTAGAAATACCGCCACTACAAAGCAATTTTAAACGAAATTTAATATTGCAGAAGTTAAAAGTAGTAACTGGGAAATTATTATGCTTGGCCGGAAAAAAAAAAATCGGGGAATTATTATGCTAGATCTTCTGCAAATATTAAATGGACTAATTGATGCTGTACGTACTATATTATAAGAAGTTAAAAACAGAGATATTTTCATCAATTTAAAAGATAAATAAATTAAAATAGGACAGATACGGAATGTTGCGGCGTCGTCCGTTTTGACCTTTTCACCGCTGACGACGCGCGTAAAGGCAAAATTTGATGCGGGACAGGAAACTTTCACCGATAAATTAATGTAACCATTTGTTTGTGACGCTCGCACAATTTTATTTAGTTTGTAGAAGAAAATTTTATTGGATTAACAACACATGATAGATTATTCAGTTTGCAGAATAAATAGCTGGGCGAAATATTAAGTCTGCTGGATATAAAACATATATACTTCTTACAGTCTCATTCTAAACTACATTTTAAAAAATTCATTTAATCTCATTTATAAATTATAATATATCTTTTTAAATAATATTTAAAAATATTTTTAAAATTTTTTTTATGAAAAAATATGATATTACTTTTTAGATTTATTATATAAAGATATATTTAAATTTTGCATATTTTTTTTTATTTTTTTATATTAGTATTAATGAGACGGGTAAGAATAATTTATAAAGGAAACTGGTATCTGACATCATCGACTTAACGAATAAACCAAGTCAAAAGGGGCGAGATATTGAATTGAATGTATGGCTTTGTGTTTTGACTTTCCGAGCGAAATGCAGAACGGACAAGTTCGATGATACGGGTACGAAACTGACAATCCCAGCGTGTTCTGATAATGATTATATTAATCTCAAAGGCAAACAAAAGTACAAGGAAACAGATGCAAGAATTAAGCAGCTTTGAAATGATGAACAAAATAAGAAAGATAATAGATAATAAAGAATATAATTAATCATATCATAATACGAAACCTGCAGGTGCAACGACATCCATTAATAATTCTTCCTTTACATCGAACCATTTAACTCCATTGTCAACGACGCACGCTTCATCAAGCTGCAGGAAAATGAAATCCAAATCAAAATCATGCATAAAGTACCGCTTCTGGACCTGGTGATTGGTCCAGTCTTTAAAGACTCTTAATTTTTTTAAAATATCTTATTTTTTAAAGTCTGACTTTTATATAAAGAGTTTAGAGTTAGGCCCATAAGCCTTTATAATTATTTTTTTATTTTTGAAATTTTTAAAAATTTAAAATTTTAATTATAATATTTCATATATTTTTTAAAAATAAAAATTGTAATGTTTAAAAATTAAAAATAAATAATAGAAATTCTAGTTTTAAAGTATAAATATATATCCCAAAGTTTAAATTTAATTTAAAAATACAAATAGTCCTAAAAGGATCGCCAGAGCCTATTTTTTCAAGGTTTATCAGGGCCGCTTGAAAACCCAACTTTCTTAAAAAATGTTATTTTTTTAAGCACAAACTCTTATAAAAATGAGCTTAAACGGGCGGCCTTCTAAGCTCGACCCGTATTCCTAACTCTAGATGGAAGTAAACACGTGAAAACAACATCGCACAGCCCAACTCAAGAAGATGAATTTTACGAGCATAAGTCTATAAATCTAAGCAGAAAATTCATCCCAAAAATTAGCTTGTTAGGTGCAAGAGAGTTTTTTAAATTTATAAACCACACATCACCCCATAACATAGAACTTTCAACAATGAATCATATCAAAATGGAAGTAAATATTGACCTGAGGAACGGGACGAAAAGAGCCATCATCATCCACTGGTGGAAAACTGACCCTTGGCATTTGGGATTCGAGTCCAGGTTTTGTAGAGTTATTAGAGCCCTGGTGAGTCCGAGGATGTGGCCTAGTGGTAGGGCAAAGAATGCTCTGGATGTTGATGCTTGGAGAGCTCATATTTCTTCACAATAAATCCAAGGTTCTTCTTTCGACGAACGATATTGGTTAAGCAGAAAGATTAACGTTGATCGTCAGAGAGAGAGAGAGAGAGAGAGGGAGGGTTTTCTGTGAATGAAGCTTGATGAAGAATGAGGTAGGGGTGATATATATAGAGAGAGGAGGGGCAAATTATTATTATGAGGGCGTGCGTGCGTATAGATAGGCTAAGATGGCTTAACGTGGAAGCAAGTGATGGATAAAAGATTGTTGAATCGATTCATTAATAAATGAATAGAAATTTACAGAGAAAGTTCGCATACGTTTGGGGCTCAAGCAGATGACCGGTTAAACTGACCGAGACAGTGTTAAAGACGTGTCGGTGACCGCCGATGGTGTGGTGTGCTGGCGGTCAAGTCTAGCATTCAGTTCGTTCAGTTTTCACGCCATTGGCAATAACTTCGAGGAACGTAGAGCGTGAATGTGAACCCCTCCCTCCCTCCATTCTATTTCTATGCGTGTCATGTTTTTGCATGGAAATGTTTGCGGATTGATTAATGTCCCATTTTGCCCCCACCTTGGGTTTCAACTGGGCTCTTTCAAAGGCTGACCCCACCTCTTCAAATGGAGTAGGTTAATTCTTCGTTCATGCATCAAATTGGAAAATGATTTTTTTACAGATATAATCCATATTACCAAATTAAGTAAAAAGTTCAATATATATTATATTTATTAATGATATATTATTGTATATCAATAATAAATCTTTTATAAATTTTTAAATTTTCAATGATACACTTCTTCTTTATCAATGTGAATCGACCACACTTTCAAATTTTAAAAAATTTGATCTATGTTTTCTAGGCATGAAATTTTTTTCATTTGTTTGGGTCTATTTTTGTCAGAATCAAGGAAAGCTTTAAGTTTTATTGACTCTCCAAAAATTTAACAAATTTTTAACTTTACTCCTATTAAATATACACACTACAAAATAAAATATTATAGTATTTAATAATTTTTCAACATTTAAAAATAACCATTCAGATGCTCTATAAAGAATATTAATTAAAACAGATACTATCTTTGTCTTATAAATAGGACAAGAAGAATAGTAAATCTTTTGAAGTTGACACTTATAAATTTCTTTTAACTTTTCATAAAACTTAAGTTTTTCTCTCCTTTAAAAAAAAATGTAAACTTCATGAAATTTATGAATTTCCAACTAATTTTCAGAGAATTCATTCTCTTTGTATAAGCTTCTGATATTGATAATAAACGAATTAATTAAACTATAGGAAGCTTATTGGAGGAAAAGTTAAATTAAGTACTGTAAGAAGTAAATTGAAACCAAACTTAAGGATTTAAAATATTAATTTTCCCTTAATTATATTAATTCTAATTTATATCCTGACCTGTTTCAAGTTTCCTTCCCTGAGATAATGTTGTTATGATTTAATTGACAAAATTCTTGGCAGTCCTAGTCCTACCTAGTTTAAACCCAGCGTGACTAATTAATCATCACAATCCTGCCAAACAGATTCGACACAACGATTGATGATCGTGCAAGACGTTGCTGACAACGTAAGACTGAACATAGCGGCTTTGAATATACGGCCAAAAAGAAAGAAGGTGCAAATACTATAACAATGAACTGTACAATCTTTACGTTGAAAGTGAAATTGATTATACTTCCCCGGTATTTTTTATTAGTTATTTATTTGAATTTCATTAATATTAATATAAAAAAAAAAAAATAAAAGCATATAAAATTTTAAATATGTATTTATATGATAAATTTAAAAAGGAACGTTGTGTTACTTTCCCTCTCATATGAAGAATAATTTTAAAAATATTTTTACATATTACTTAAAAAATTACATTATAACTTATAAATAAGATTAAATGAATGTCTTATAAATGAGATAAGAGGAAATATTACACAGTACCAAATTAAACTTTATCTTATTCAAATGATTCCGTACAGAAAAAAGGTATGCCGACGATAAGGTCCTTTCAAATATTGAATATCTCCGTTATTGGAAAAGCATGCGGACAAGGAATTGAAGAAATACAGCAACATATTTTCGTTATCAAGTTTGAAATATAATATATATGTATATATATTCACACAATCACACTTGACACGTAGCTGCATGTAAACAAACAAATTAAGAAAATGAATAAATAAATAATTGGCCCTATATATATGCAGCTTTATTTACTTGCGTTGTTTCTTGATCAAGCAACCCTCCACGTTGTGAGTCGTCATCGATATCTCTTGGAAAATATATCCTGGGTACTTGGGATTCGAGTACCAGGTCTTGTTGTTGGAGGGTTCTGAGTAGACGGCCTCGGGGGTCCAAAAATCTTTGGGGTGTTTATGTTTCCAGAATTCATCTTCGTGATTGTACGTACGTAATAATATTGGTTATACAGACGGCTTTTTAAGGAAATTTGATTGATGTGATGATCGCACAGATAGGGTTAACTTGCTTGATTTGAAGGTTGAGGTGTGCCATTATATATATAGACAAGGTATATATTGTGATCAACATGTTCAACCAATAACGTTGGAAGAAGGAAAGTTCATGGGAAATCACCCACTGATTGTTAAGGTTTTTACGGAGAGAAATCAATTTGTATTCGATCAATTTCCAAACATCTTGAAACACAAATTCATTTACTCGAAAAAACCAGCGTTAGATTAGGGCACACGTTAACGAATAACTCTTAATTTCCGTGGTCACGGTGAGGCCACCTATATATATATGTATATATTTATGTTTGCTGCTTCTTATCACACATTTAATTCAGTATAATTCTGTTTTGATATACATCATTTAATTTCGACGAAAATCCTTCGAATGTATATATTATTAAATTCACATACATTGGACTTTGAACACGCGATTGAGGAACGTGTCTGCATGTTTCGGCACATATTAACGTTGATTTTCCAAATTCCACTTTCTTCTTCATCAGCTTGCCATGATTGAGGGGTGCTTTTGACCTTTCAGATGGGAATAATATATATAAACTTGTTGCCACCAACAGTTGCATTATCTAATCAACGCGGTTTATTTGGTTCCAACATGAAATAACCTCAACTTTTCATCTTTTTTTCCCATATTCAACGGTCAATATATATGAGATAAACACATTATATTATTATTATATGTGTCTGACGAGGGTGGATAATTATATTAGGGAAATTATTAAGTTATTATGATGTCATATTTGAATGGGATAATTACTGAGACAAGGATATCAATCACGTTAAAGTTTCAAGAATGTACAAATTACTACTGCCATGTCTCAAACCTTATGTAATTACAACTTGACAAAAAAAAAATGATAACTTGGGTTAAGTTTAATATCAAGTTATCATTTTTCTTTACCAACATAAAATTTAGGACTTGAAAGTATGTTTGTACATTTCATAAAATCTTTTGATATTAAAATCTTCACAGAGACTCTGGAGTGATTTTCCCTATTTGTTGTATTTTGTAGTTGTGTTGGGCCGTGGTAGCTTTCTGATAACACTTGGTCCTCTCAGGTAATTGAGGGTTAATTAAAAAAAAACAGTAAATTTTGTCTCTAAACTATAAAGTCAATAGTTTATGTGGAAACTTTTAACTCGCTTTTAATACAATATGTTCTTTCAACATTTTAAAATGTTACAACATTTCCCCTACCAATAAAAAATATTAACTTTGACCATTATTTGATTAAAAAATTATAGAAAAATGCTAAGAAAATGATAGAAAATGACCTAAAAAGTATAGACATGACACAAAAAATATAAACAAATGATAAACAAATTTCCTTGGTCTTTTTATATAATTTTTTGGTCATCTAACAATCAAAGTTAACAGCAAAAGCATATTGTACCATTTGGAAACATTGAAGGAAAACATTATACCAAAATAAATTTTAGATCCTAGATACTCTTAAACCTGAAGTTTATGGGCAAATTTGCCATGTATTTCTATAATTAATATTTATATTTATATTTCATTTTCACATTTTTTTGAACCTTTGAGAAGCAAAAAAGAAATGGGAAGATGAATTTTATAACATCCCCAAATTATTACCTTTCAATTTAATTAGATTATTAAGATTTTGAGGGAGTTTAAGAGTATTTAAATACATTAAAAAATGACTCATAGTTAATGAGGGCTTGGAAGAAGATAAGAAATGACCTATCTTTGTAATCAAAGATTTTCAAAGAGTAAATAATAATATTTTTGAGTAATTACTTTTTGAATTATGAAGTACACATCTCAAGCTTTCTATAAAATCATAATTCATAATTTTAGAGATGGGTGGAATTAATTATACTTATGATACTGGTTCAATAAAGTACCATCGTTAGCAGCAACCAACAGCACTTTTTGGCCATGGCGAATGCATGTTTTTTAGATTTAAATGTTCTGTCGTGCACAAGAATGCCATATTTGAGTTTTTGAGAGGTTTGAGATATTTTTGAAGAGCTTTTCTAGGGTTTTGGGAGTTCCCAATACTAGGGTAAGAATTCTAACTTTAAATCACTCAAGGTAACACTCTAATCCATCTTCCACCACCCTTTAATCTTCTCTTTAAGTTAGTTTAAGTAATGGGTATGTAGGGTGTTGGTTTTTAGGGATATCCAACCATTAGTTTGAATTATATGGGTTGTTTAAGGTTAAAGAAGTATTAATTTAGGTAGTTTTGATGATGATTGTTGTAATAGGATGTTAAATCCAAAAACCCTAGACTTTAGGGAGATTTTTATGATGATTAGAGGTTGTACAAGGGTAGATAAATGATAATATAAGTGTATTGATGATTATGTGATTAAAGTTTAAGCTAATGGCCGTTAAAAACCTGATGTATTTCTTATTAATATCGCTAATTAAGGGTTTTAGCCTCATCATCATTATATCCTAATTAATGATAGTTAGTTATTAATGATGTTTAGTGCTGGTATCATGGCCTACCTCCCTTTGCAAGTATTTAGCCTTTTTGGAGGCTCTCTCGAAATCTAAATTGTACTCTTGGGGTGATTAAACCAAGAGTTGAAGTAATTAAAAATTCCTTATTGTATCTTCTAGTATCTGCAAATGTAATTTATAACTCTATTATCAATGGCTTGAAATGAGAAATATGGACTTGTCGGTAACTTTGTTGCCTCTAAGTGAATCAAGTGG